CTAAAGGAGTTCACTGTAGACATACGAGATGCTTATCTTCTGCTGGGTAGTCCTCATGGTAACACCCATATCATTCCTGGCTTTGAGTGACAGCGCTGTACTCTTGTCTGGTGCCCATACTTCAGCAGATGTAAACAAGACAGTGCTCGTTAGTCAACAGAAAGTTTCTGTAGTTAAAAATCAAGTGATCCCTTGAGTCCATTCTAATATTTGTCTGTACCATGTTCTGTGACGAGACATGGAAACAAAACATTAAGAAGTGAAAGTATCTTTGATTATGCTCTTGAAGACAACTTTTTTTTTTTTTTTTTTGAAACGGAGTTTCGCTCTTGTTGCCCAGGCTGGAGTGCAGTGGTGTGATTTCGGCTCACCGCAACCTCTGCGTTCCCGGGTTCAAGCAATTCTCCTGCCTCAGCCTCCCAAGTAGCCGGGATTACAGGCATGCACCACCATGCCTGGCTAATTTTTTGTTTTTAGTAGAGATGGGGGTTGCACCGTGCTAGTCAGACTGGTCTCGAACTCCTGACCTCAGGTGATCCACTCGCCTTGGCCTCCCAAAGTGCTGGGATTACAGGCGTGAGCCACTGCGCCTGGCCAAAGACAACTTTTTAAAGATGCATATGCTCCAAGCCGGGTGCGGTGGCTCACACCTGTAATCCCAGCACTTTGGGAGGCTGAGGCGGGTGGAACACCTGAGGTCAGGGGTTCAAGACTAGCCGGGCCAACATGGTGAAACACTGTCTCTACTAAAAGTATAAAAATTATCCGGGTGTGGCGGCGGGTGCCTGTAATCCCAGCTACTCGGGAGGCTGAGGCAGGAGAATAGCTTGAACCCCAGAGGCAGAGGTTGCAGTGAGTTGAGATTGTACCACTGCACTCCAGCCTAGGCGACAGAGTGAGACTCAGTCTCAATAAATAAAAATAAAATAAAATAAAGATGCGTATGTTCTGAAGGCTAACTACATTTTGTTCTTTCTCAGACAACTTTTACAGTGGATAGTGCTGTAAAGGTTGTTTAGCTCTGGTCATTTTTTTTGTGATCTGCAAAAGGAAAGATCCTTTTCCTGTTCACTGCCTCTAATACCCAACTCCAATACTCCTTTGACCTCACAGGCACTTAGAATCCATCAGTGGCTCCATCTTTTCTCAGACTTCACCTCCTTTGTATCCTTATTCCTTTCCTTCATAGCTTCAGTGCCAGTCAGAGACGTCGTTACTACCTGGCACACTGCCTCAGCACTTCAGCACTTCCTTGCTTTGTTATATTCAGTCGACAAAGCCCCAGCCTCGTGAAATTCAGTCATGTCTGCCCCATGCCTGCTCCATCTTGAAGCTGAATGTGACTCCTTCATTGATCCCCCTTTAAGTTTATGTCCACCCCAGGTAAACTTCTTGCCGCCAAGCCCACCAGCATACTGCAGTTCCCTGGTCTCTCCTAGCCCCTCCCACCCTCCTCATCAGCTGTCACACCTCCTTGCAGCTGATGTCTTAGTTCCCAGAGAGCACAGAAGCAAGCTCAAGAGAATGTCTACAGACCAGCGTCTGCTCCTTTGCTCTGCCTCCCTTGTGCTGTCATGGAGCGCCTGTCCCAGGCCCTTGCTGCTGTTCTAAGGCATCTCTCCAATCCTCTACTGCACTCTCCTGCATCAGAGATTCCTCCCTCGCCTGCCCTAGAAACTTGTTGCTACTTCTCCCACCTTGATAAAAGCTGCTCCTAACCCCCCTCCTGTCTAGCATCTCTGCTTTCCTTTACCAGCAAGACTCCAGTCCCTGTCCCCACACCCTCTTCAACCTTCTACAATGTTCCTTTGCTGCCACAGCTCTGCCAAGCTGCTCCATGAGGTCTCCAGTGATGACCTTCATGTTGTTAAATCTGGGAGCTGCTTGTCACTTCTTGTCCTGGAGCTGTCGTCGTCAGTTAACCCCAATACCCATACGAGGCAATCCTTTCCCTCCCTTGAGTCTCTGCACTGATGTGCACCTTCTCAAACCACAGCTTTTGTCTCTTTCTAGCTGAATACGTGACTGACTGTGCTTATCTTAGCTATCACCCCTGCCGGAGCAGAAGCTCCACAGGACAGGATTGTCTCCTTGATTCACAGATGTAGCCCAAGCTCCTAGAACAGTGCCTGGCATCTGTGGGTCCTCAGGAAGTCCTGGGTGAATGTGTGAATGTCTGTCCTCCTCAAGTCTTTTCTGTTTCGCATGTGATGTTGGAAGGCCTCAAGCTCAGGCTTTTCTTCTCCACCCTCACTCCCGAAGTGATTCCGTCCAGCCTCATGGCTCCTAAATTTATGTCTCCAGGCTGACTGGGTCACGGGAACTCCTTATCCTCCCCAGATCTTCTCTTTCCCTGGTCTTCTCCTTTCCAGTAAACAGCAACTCCAACTCCCTGCTCCTCAGGCCAGAAACCTGGCGCTGGTTATCTCGTTTGTCCACAAATACTGTGACTCCACTTGCAAGATGGATGCAAAATCTGATGAGTTCCCCTGCCTCCACTGCTCCCACCCTGGTCCAGGTGTCCAGCTTCCCTGCCTCTGCCCTTGCCCCCTGGTTCTTGGTTTAGTTCTGCAATATTGTGCGCCACACCAGGGTGCTCTTCTGTTCAGAACCCTCCAGTGGGTCCCTGCTCACTCAGAATCACAGCCCAACAGGATCACCTCTCTTGCCACTCTCCCACCACTCATGCACTGCGGCCTCACTGGCCTCCTGGCTCCTCCCTGGACCCTCGAAGTATACCCCTGCCTCAAGGCCTTGACCTCTCCTCTGCCCTCTGTCCCAGGTATCACGCATGTCTGCTCAAGTGTCACCTTCTCAGTGTGACCCTTCCTGAGCACACCCCTGTCTGTAAATCAGGCAGCCTGCCTCTGTCCCACCAGTTCCCCCTGACAAGCATAGGACTTGTCACCATCTGCCACAAGCTGTGTTACTGCTTGGTTTTGTTTGTGCTCTCCCACTCCCTTCCCTCCCTTTCCCCACTCCTGTAGAATCTGAGTCCCATGAGGACAGAGGTTTTTTTTTTTGCCTCTTCCTCGATATATCCTCAGTGCCTAGAATCATGCATATTTTAATTTATTGAGTGAATTAACAAATAAATTCTGTAGTGGGACATTGCCCTAAAGTTTTGTCTTATAAGAGGGACAGAAGAACATGCAGCCTGCTCTGCTGTTGGCTCCTTAGCTTCTCCATGGCTAACAGGAACAATATTGTTTATGGGTTAAATCAAAGCCGTAGTCATGAGTTAGAAGGTACACATAAAGGCAAATATGTGGAGATTGAGTTACTTTGGCGGGGGAGGGGTGGAGTGCAGTTATCTGAAAACATGGAACAAATCAGTGAGAGTCTAAATAGCACCCACATATTTGCCCCTCTTTTAAAACATACCTCCTTTATGAGCATATAATTTAACAGCACAGTTTCTCAGTGCAGCTTTGCGAAACAAGAGAAATGAATTTTGAGGGCTATCGGGTGCCTTTGCAATCTGTGGCTTAGTATTTGTGTGGCAGCATTTGTGTTTTGCCAACAGATGCACTGCTTAAAGTACCCATGAGAATGGCCTCTGTGGTTTCCTGCTTGCTCAGATGGAACCTTAGGAACTGATTATTGAGAAGAGGTTGACACTACCCACCTCAGCTCCCAGGCTTCAGGGCCTTGGTTACTACTCCTTTGGGCCCTCACTGACCCTTGCAGACGTCCTTTGCAACCTCTGTAGCCAGAAGTGACAACCGCTTTCTGGCATTTTGCTCTTTCCCTAATGGCTTATGAGCTTCTTGAGCACCAAAGCATGTGTGACTCCCTCACGCCTTCCCCTGTATAGTATAGCACCACTAACTGTAAGTATAAGGAGAAGGAGTGAGCAATTGATGGTGTCCCCCTGGATCGCCAAGGGGAATGGGAAGGGGCAGGGTTTCTGGATTCAATCATGTGGAATCTAGTCGTTGGTGACTAAATGTGCCTGTTACTTGGGGCCAATGTCCAGGTTCACTCAGGAGGCTTAGCCTGCTCGTTTCCCTGCTAGGTATCTATACTTTGGGAGAGCATTTTTTATGCTCTAATTGAACTTTCTGGGTCTCAGCAATTTGAACAATGCTTTGTTTTGCTTCTAGTGAGGTTACAAAGGAAAGAAAAGGAATCTGGTGTTGTAGGAGGTGGTGTGTTGTGTAATTGGGTTTTTTTTTTTTTTTTAAGTTTTTTTATATTTTTGCAACAAGGCAAGTTTTCTTTGAATAAATAATGCTGGGAGCTTATGACATAGAAGGCATATGTGTTGTACTCAGTACATTCTGAATTATCTGGGTTTATTTTTGTCTCTTGAATTCACTTATAAACAATTCAAAGGCTGCTTTTTTAGCTAACAGAAATAGGAAGAGAATCTCAGAATCTATTTTGTCATTTTTTCAATGGGTTGAGTTATAGTGATTGTGATAACTCGGTGGAAAAGCAGTGTAGTGAGTAAACCTCACTATGGCATATCATGAACATTTTGTTGTTTTTTTGGCTTCTGACCATCTTCATACCTTTTTTTGTGTTAAAAGTCTCCCCATTGTGTATATCTTAGTAGGAGGCAGGTGGACCCTAGTTTCTACCTGAGAAAACCTGAAGATGGGGTTGGGGGCCTGTGGTATACTTCCTTCTCATGCTGTCCATGACCACTGCAGTGGCTTTGTAAGGATCCAGGACCCTGGGCCCCTCAGTGGGTGTCTTCCATTTCTCGAGACTGCCTCTTGGTTGTGAGATGACGGTTGCTGCTCTAGTCATTGCATCCACTCCTCCAGGTAGGAAGAAAGAGGTCATAGGGGAAAGGCAAAATGGCACTTGACATCTTAACTTCTAGGCCCATTCAGTATTTCCATTTCCATCTTCACACCCATCATCTTGTCCCAGGGAACACACAGCACCAGCAGCTCAGTAGGTATAACAGCAATTATTTATTTCTCACACATGGGTCTGGGTCAGCTGCAAGATGGGATTCAGATCTGTTCTCAAGCCTGTCGTTCCAGGACCCAGGAGGGAGAAGCAACTGCCAGGGGAAGTCTCTTCGTAGGCGGAGGTCAGGAGTCCAAGAGGAGTGAGCAGAGTCACAGAAGCCTCTTAAAGCCTCTTCTTCCCCCATCCCATCAACACGTGAGCAAGCCCAGAGTCAGTGGGTGGGAAGTGTGCTCCGCCCATAGTAGAACAAGAGCAAGCTTGAAAGAGAATGATGAACAGGAGTGCGCTCAGCCACTGTCTCCTTAGCCGTAACGTAATCCCATGGTCTACTGGGAAGCGGGAAATAACTCTCCTTAGCTGAGCACAGGGTCTCATTAGTAAGGCAGATGGAGAACATGGATGTTGGGGGACAGCTGGCAGTGTCTGCCACAGGGGAATGGATATATTCCCTCCCCTTGCTCTCTGGAAACGAGGGGATGGCGATGAAGCCTAGGCTTGGCCAAACCCATTCTGCCTTCATGGATTTTGACTCTTGAGGGACAGTAAAGGATTAGTCATGGTGGTGACACCTAAGCCACAAAACCAACAATCGTGGCTAATGTCTACTGTTGATGTGCAGCAGTGCCCAGGGTGGGTGTCCCAACCAGCAGGTCCCTACACTGTAACCTTGGCTGTATTTGCAGTGGTGCAGCCTCTATTCCTGCAACTTTTCTGAGCCTAGTTCTCCAGTTCTCTCTCCATTTCCAGATCTGCTGCCCAAGAACTCCTTTGTGATTGAATTTAACCAGAGTTGATTTCTGTTGCTTGAAACTCAGGACCTTGATGCAGTGTGCAGGGTCTGGGCAAGGTAAAAACACACTTTCATGATTTTGCCTCAAGTATAGTAGATGAGCTTAGGCTTTTTGAGCCAGGTAGCCTTGGGATTAATTCTCAGCTCTTGAACCTAGCAGGTGACCTTGGCAATCAAGTCACTTGCCCTCTTTGAGCCTCAGTGTTGCCCTCAGTTAAACATTGCTTACATGTGTTGCTGAGCATTCAATGAGATTGTATATAAAGTGATCATTGTGAAGGTATTGGAAGATAATTTGGGAAAGTGTTCTGGTCTAAGCTTTTGATTGGCTCTCCATCATTTGGGTAATGGGATAGTAATTTAGGAGTACCATAGCGGTTCAAGGGGCCCTTCTGGAAAGGGTATGAGGAAGGTCAGGGACAAGTCTGAAGTGAATCATCCTGGGCTTAATGCCTCTAACTGGGTAGTGGGTACAATTATCTCAGGCTAGTCAGTAGTCATTTATTGTGAGAATACATGGGCAGATTTTTTAATTTCCTTCTCAGTCTAGACTTGAATGCAAACAGTTCTTATTGCTAACTTACCACTAGTCACCACTAATGAACAAAGACTATGAACAGGAAATTCATAAAAGAAGAGATACAGATGGCCAATGAAGATAGGAAAAGAGTTCTGCCTGCTGGTAATCAAAGTGATGCAAACGAAAACAAAAATGATGCCTTTTCACCTACCAAATTTGTCAAGATTAAAAAGAAAGCAAAGAGCCAGCGTCAGCTGATGTTCATACCTGCACCTGCTCAGTAGCTTGCTAATGTTCTGCCTGCTCCACACGCCAGGCCAGCCTCCACGGCGCAGCCAGGTGAGGCCTTTCCTTGTATACAGGCACGTTTGGATTCACTGTTGCATAAGTGACACATGTGCATGCTTCACAATTCAGGAAGTGCAAACTCCAGAGTGATGCAAGGTCTGAGTGTCCCTGCTGCCCTGGTCTCCCAGCTGCCTACGCCTCTCTTCAGGGAACAGCTGCATCCAGGGTCTTGTCTGTGTCTTTTGAGGTGTTCTGTGCACACACAGACACATCTAAACCTATTTTTATTTTCCCTGCACCTGCTTGGGCTACTGTAAGCTGTTAAATTTTTTTTTCTAAGAATTTGTCCATTTTGTCTGACTAGCATAAAGTTGTTCATGTTATAGTTTTTTGTACCTTTGCAACATCTGTAATTATATCTGCTTTTTCACTGCTAGTATTTGTTGTTTACTTGTACCTTCTCCCATTTTTCCTTGTCTTGGTAAAAGTTCATTGGATTCATTGGTCTTACAAGAAGCAGACACGTAGGCATTATTGCCCTGTATTACTCTGTGTCTCTTTTCTAGTTCATTAAATTCTGCTTTTGCTTTTATCTTTATTATTTTTTCTATGGTCTTAGAGTACATTCTCTGTTTTTTTGTTTGCTTGTTTTTTTGTTTTGAGAGAGAGAATCTTGCTCTGTTGCCCAGGCTGGAGTGTAGTAGTGCGATCTCAGCTCACTGTAACCTCCACCTCCCAGGTTCAAGTGATTCTCGTGCCTCAACCTCCTGAGTAGCTGGGATTTACAGGCATTTGCCCCACACGCGGCTAATTTTTTGTATTTTTAGTAGAGATGGGGTTTTGGCATGTTGACCAGGCTGGTCTCAAACTCCTGACCTCAGGTGATCCACCAGCCTCGGCCTCCCAAAGTGCTGGGATTACAGGCATGAGCCACCGTGCCCGGCCCTAACTTCTTAAATTATAAATGTGGTTCATTGATTTTTCTACCTTTTTTTCAAATGTAAGCATTTAAGGCTAACCCTCTGGAACTACTTCAACTGTATCTAGCAAGTTCTGATAGTATTGTCACTTGAAGTTAGCCCAAGGATTTTAAAAATTTTCTTTGTTTCTTCCTTCGACTCACAAATTACTTTAAAATGTTTTTTTCAATTTCCAAGCACGTGGCTTTGGGTTTTGTTTTTTTTTTCCCCCCAGTTGCTCTAGAAAAAAAAATTGACCACACAAGGCGGCTCACGCCTGTAATCCCAGCACTTTGGGAGGTCGAAGCGGGCAGATCACCCGAGGTCAGGAGTTCGAGACCAGCCTGGCCAACGTGGTGAAACCTCGTCTCTACTAAAAATACAAAATTAGCCAGGCATGGTGGCACACACCTGTAGTTCCAGCTACTCGGGAGGCTGAGGCAGGAGAATCACTTGAACCGAGAGGCGGTGATCACAGTGAGCTGAGATCGCACCAATGTACTCCAGCCTGGGCAACAAGAGCAAGACTCTGTCTCAAAAAAAAAAAGAAAAAATCAACTTATAACTAAATGGCACTGTGGTCAAAGAACTTGGTCTGTGTGACACCAGTTCTTGCAGTTGGACAGAATATGTCACCGCCAAGCATGGGTGCAGGATTCTACATATATTCATTACCTCTGTCTTATCCTTTTATTGTGAAAGTATTTTCTCTTACTGTCATTTTGTTTACTTGATTTGTCAACTGATGGGATATGTGTTAAAATCTACTGTAGTGATGGACACATCAGTTTCTCCACAGAGTTTGGTAATTTTCATTTTATTATTTATTTTTAGGCCACGTTTTCAATTTTAGATACAGTTTCACATTCCTGGTGTATTGAACCCTTTGGTATTATGAAGTGACCATACTAATATTTTATTTTTTAATTATTATTTATTTATTTTATTTATTTTACTTTTTTTTTTTTTTTTTTTTTTTGGGACAGGGTCTCCCTCTGTCACCCAGTCTGGAGTGCAGTGGTGCAATCGCAACTCACTGCAACCTCTGCCTCCTGGGCTCAAGTGGTCGTCCCACCTCAGCCTCCTGAGTAGCTGAGAGTACAAGCTTACACTAGCACGCCTGGCCAGGTTTTTGTATTTTTAGTAGAGACAGGGTTTTGCCGTGTTGCCCAGGCTGTCTCAAACTCCTGGGCTCAAGCAGTTCACCAGCCTTGGCCTCCAAAAGTGTTGGGATAACAGGTGTGAGCCACCACGCCCGCCCATCCCAGTTTTTTATTTTCTTCCTTTCTGTGTCTTTGGTATGTAGAGCTTTTGAAAATGTCAGATAGCTAGATTTTTTTTTTTTTTTTTTTTTTTTTTTTTTTTTTTTGAGACGGAGTTTTGCTCTTGTCTCCCAGGCTGCAGTGCAATGGCGTGATCTCAGCTCACTGCAACCTCCACCTCCTGGATTCAAAACAATTCTCCTGCCGCAGCCTCCTGAGTAGCTGGGACTACAGGCATGCGCCACCACACCCGGCTAATTTTGTATTTTTAGTAGAGATGTGGTTTCACCATGTTGGCCAGGCTGGTCTCAAACTCCTCACCTCAGATGATCCACCCACCTCAGCCTCCCAAAATTTTGGAATTATAGACGTGAGCCACCATGCCTGGCCAATAGCTAGTTTTTTTTTTGTTTTTTTTTTTTTCTGAGATGGAGTCTTTGCTCTGTGGCCCTGGCTGGAGTGCAGTGGCCGGATCTCAGCTCACTGCAAGCTCCGCCTCCCAGGTTTACGCCATTCTCCTGCCTCAGCCTCCCGAGTAAGCTGGGACTACAGGCGCCCGCCACCTCAGCCGGCTAGTTTTTTGTATTTTTTAGTAGAGACAGGGTTTCACCGTGTTAGCCAGGATGGTCTCGATCTCCTGACCTCGTGATCTGCCCGTCTTGGCCTTCCAAAGTGCTGGGATTACAGGCTTGAGCCACCGCGCCCAGCCTAATAGCTAGATTTTTTTAAAAAATCCATTCTGTCTGTTTTGTCCTTTAACATCTATTTGATTTCTGATACATTTAGATTTGTTTATAGCATATTATTTTGTGCATTCTATTTTTCCATATTTTCTGTTCTTTTAAATTTTTCTTCTCCTTTCTTGCCTTCTCTTAGACTTTTTAAAAAAACTGTGGTAAAATACACATCACCTAAAATTTACCATTTTTAAATATACAGTTCAGTGGCATTAAATACAAATTGGAGGCCAGGCATGGTGGCTCACGCCTATAATCCCAGCACTTTGGGAGGCTGAGGTGGGAGGATTGCTTGACCCTGGAGGTTGAGGTTGCAGTGAGGTGTGATCACGCCACTGCAGTATAGCCCAGGCAACAGAGTGAGACCCTATCTAAAAAAAAAAAACAGATCGGTATCACACGGTGTGTGTGCTGCTGTGCCGTGCTTTATCATTTAACATTAAAACATAAACATCAGCACTGTTATGGATTGAATGTTTGTGTCCCCCATAATTCCAGTGTTGAAGCTCAAACCTCCAATGTGATGTTATTTGGAGATGGGGTCTTTGGGAGGTGGTTAGGTTTAGATGAAATCAGGAGGGAGGGTGGGTCTCCTTATGACAAGAGACAGCAGAGAGCTTGCTTTCTCCACTATGTGAGTATGCAATGAGAAGGTAGCCATCTCCAAGCCAGGAAGAGAGCCCTCACCAGGGGCTAAATGTGTTGACACCTTGATCTTGGACTTCTAGCCTCCAGAGCTGTGAGAAATTTCAGTTGAGTAGGCCCCCCCAGTCTATACTATTTTGTTATAGCCTGAGCAGACTAGTACATCCATGTTATGAAAAGCTATAAACATCCCTTTAAAGGCCACCTAACATTCCATCGTATTACCTCATGCATCTTCTCTGCTGAGCTTTCCAAAAGAGTGGCTTAGGCTGGGCATGGTGGCTCATGCCTGTAATCCCAGCACTTTGGGAGGCCAAGGCGGGCAGATCCCCTGAGGTCAGGAGTTTGAGACCAGCCTGACCAACATAGAGAAACCCCATCTCTACAAAAATACAAAATTAGCTGTGCATGGTGGCGCCTGCCTGTAATCCCAGCTCCTCGGGAGGCTGAGCCAGGAGAATCACTTGAACCTAGGAGACAGAGGTTGGAGTGAGCCAAGATCGTGTCATTGCACTCCAGCCTGGGCAACAAGAGCGAAACTCCATCTCAAAAAAAAAGAGTGGCTGGCCGGGTGCAGTGGCTCATGCCTGTAATCCCCACATTTTGGGAGGCCTTGGCGGGTGGATCATGAGGTCAGTAGTTCAAGACCAGGCTGGCCAAGATGGTGAACCCCCCCCCCCCCCAGTCTCTACTAAAAATAGAAAAATTAGCCGGGTGCAGTGGCAGGTGCTTGTAATCCCAGCTACTTGGGAGACTGAGGCAGGAGAATCACTTGAACCTGGGGGGCAGAGGTTGCAGTGAGCCGAGATGGTGCCACTGCACTCCAGCCTGGGTGACACAGCGAGACCCCGTCTCAAAAAAAAAAAAAAGGCGTATGTTCCCGATCTCCACCTCTCATTCATCAGCCCCTGTGATCAAACCTCTGGGATTAGATCTCCATTGGGTCCCTCCCCTTACCCTAACCCCAACAAGGCAGGCTTGTCCTTACCCACACTCTTCAGGTGAAAACTTAATCAGATGCAAGCGTTTATCTTAGTGGCCTCTCGTGGAGTGTGGTCTCCTTCTTGCAGCTCTTTACTGGCTAAAACTCTTCTGGGAGTTAAACCAGGTGTGGTCCTTGACCCTCATGATTTTGTCCCATCTCCTATGCTGGGCTCTGTATCCTTGTCTCCAAGCGGTCTCATGTGACAGGAAAGTTACCTATTATTGCATGTTCCCCTCTTGTCACCTCTGGTGTGACACTTGTTCAGTGAATGAGAGTTGTGAATGTGTCACATCTGTGGGAGGAAGGCAGTTCGCAGCAAGAGTTGTAGTTCCCTTGCTTTGCCCTGAGGGCCAGGACTTTACAGTAGATTTTTTTTGTTGCATTCCTGCACTCATAAAGTACACGTAAACTTAGAGGTGGTGTGTTAAATGCTAGAACTTGAAACTGAGTTCAGCTAGGCTTA